GACGTCGAGTCTGACCCCGTCGTGCAGTGGCACACCAGGTACTAAGCGTTCCCCACCCACCCCTACCAATCTGATGTCAAATGAGTTCTGGCAAATCGGCCCAAGTATTTGGGTATATCTAAAGTATATCTGAAGATGACTCCAAACAGTAAATGTTTCTTTTTCTTCTTTTTGCTGCGTGAAATGTATTGAATAGCAGTGAAGCTTGTTATGATAATTTTGCTGATAAATGTCAGCTAGCTCAAACTAACATCCCGCGTCTCTCGCGGCAGGAACTTCGGGGTGCTCAAATTGATCTTCTGCCTGGTGGTGCCCACACTCGTCCCCGTGCTTGGCTGGGGCGAGCCGTGGTACGTCGCGATCCTGGGCTGCATCTGTCGACTCGTCTACACCGTCAACTGTACTTGGCTGGTGAACAGCGCCGCCCACCTCTACGGCACCCACCCCTACGACAAGTACGAGCTCGATAACGGCTGTCCGACTGATTCAGGAAGTTCTGGTCCTGATGGCATTTTTTTTTTCTCCCCGAAAGACGCATCAACCCGACTGAGAACGCCGTGGTGTCTGTCTTGGCCGTGGGCGAGGGCTGGCACAACTACCACCACATCTTCCCCTGGGACTACAAAGCGGCCGAGCTCAAGTACCTCAACTTGACCACTCTCTTCCTGGACCAGTTCGCGCGCATCGGCTGGGCCTACGACCTCAAGTCGGCGTCGCCCGACCTGGTGGCGAGGGTCGCGCTCCGTCACGGGGACGGCTCGCACTACAAGCACGGCGTCGAAGAACACCTGCAAGAGGTGCCGTACGACGAGTACCTGCGCATCGCGAGGGAAAACGACGACTCGACGGGTGTCCGGGACCTGCACAACGCTGAGGACCCGACCAGGCAGCGGGGGGCGTCGTGGACGGGCCGTGAACGGTCCGGGACGGTCCAAGCCACACAGAGAAGCATGATGGAAATGATGCCACTTGGATGTGGTTTGTGTGGGTCGGAAAGTGGATGCTTTTTATGTCGACGCCACTTATTTATTTATCTGACACAATGTTTCGAAACATGTCACAATATTTGTTCGAGAATCTGAAACAATCAGAAACAATCACTCACAATCATAATCAATCATACACAATCTGAAACTATCACTCACAATCATAATCAATCATACACAATCTGAAACTATCACTCATAATCGGAAACATTCACACACAATCAGAAACAATCACAAACCATCGGAAACATCCACACAAAATTGGAAACAATCACTCAAAATTTTAAACAATCACAAAATCGGACACAAACATAACACTATTTTTAAAAGTTTGTCTTAGTATTGACCCAACATTCTTAAACAGTCGCAGAGACAATCATCGACACAACCATACACAATCACATTCAATATGCAACAATGCTTGCCTAGACACAATCATGTGTACACTTTACTAAAAATTACTCAAAATGAGTCAATAAGTTAGTTTTCTGAAAAAGGGGAAGGGGGGGGGGGGCAATTTGGGCTAGGCGACAGGGATAAGAAATTAAGGTCGAGACTGATGTACTCTTGACCATGTTAATTGGATTTTCTTTCGTGGATGTCATAACACCACTGTTGACTTTTTGGCACCCGAGTCAAATCAAATTGTCATCACACTTTTACTTGCCTGTGAATCAAGTCCATATTAGCTCGTTTTACGTTTTAGCTCGTTTGCTACTGCCAGAGATGACTGCAGCCGCAGAGGTCCAATGTCGGACTTTTTGTCGATCGCCGCAAAATCGACGTTGATTCTCAAAGTGGCAGCAGCTAGCCCGGTTAAAGGGGAATGAATAACCATGTCACTGTTCGGCCGCGCCGACCGGCTCCCGGCCAGTCCCACGAGCCCATGTCAATGGCGAACCCAGAAAACTGTGGGAATCGAGGGGGAAAATAGCACTGATTCACTCGACTGCCGAGCCGAAGTGCGCTGGGGAGGAAAACGAGTACAGTTTGTATCGGGAATCCTTTTTTTTCTCTCGGCTCAAACATCAGCACTAATCTCTCATGCTGCCGTGAAGTCATTTACAGTCCTTGGACTACGTATTGAGTGTCACGGCTTGCCAAAACTTATAGTGCGAATAACGCCGTTCAAAAAAAACTAATTAAAAAGCACCTTTCGGATTTACTCAAAGAGTAGTAGCCTCCAAATGAGGCATTTTATTGGAGTAAAGAAGATCAGGAAGAACATGCCAGAACATCACAAGCCTTGAATTTGTTTTTCAGAAATCGTCTGCAAAAACAATTGAAAATTAGACAACTTCCGAAGAACAATTGAAGCCTTGTGATGTTCTGCCAGATCTTCTTTACTCCAATAAAATACCTCATCCACCACAACGTTACGTCAATAACAAAAGCCCCTTAAAGACTTTCTGAAAGTGCTCGCCTTGGCCGATTTATGATTTTGTTATTAAGGGTACTTGCACTAAAATGTTCCAAACTCAAGAACACACTTTTTTTTGTGAATTTTGAAATACATCCTCTTGCCCAACTTACTTTTGTATGTTATTTTTTTTGTCGCGGATTGTCGTTTGGAAAAGTGAGTTTGTTTGTTATTCTAGTGGAACTCTACGATGTCGGTGGCCGAACGGGTCCATATTTCACTAAGTGCTGTGGGTATGACCCCGCCGACCATGTTGCCACCCCGCGGACCCCCTCACCCTTCCCTCCCGAGTCCCTCCTTGGGCGACCCGCCCTTGCAGATTAGCACGGTGATGGGACCTCGCAAAAGCCATGTTCCCTGCTCCGACCGTTTGCCTGGTCCCACGGCTACACAACACGTCACAAAACGGTTCACCTTCTTCGCCCCCTCTCGAGGGGGTCACCGTGTTTTGTTGCGCCCTGCGCGGGGTGCCCGTGCAGGGAGCCGAGCAGTCCAGCCAGTCCCGCCCGCACCGCCGCTCAGTCGCCCTCAGCGCACACCATGCCACCCCACCTGGAAGGCTCCACCACCATCGCGGCGTCCCTGCCGCGGCCGGTGCCTCGCAGCAAGCCCAACGCCGCCGCCCTGGACGCGAGGCTGAACCCCGCGCCCAGCGCGCGCCAGCCGCTCGTCTGGAGCAACATCATTATCCTCGGGCTGATGCACACCGTGACCCTGGCCGCCCTGCCGACGGACGCGTTCAGCTTGAGGATGTTCACGTTCGGTAAGTGTGCCCAGGCGATGGCGGGGTGCCGCGACCCCGGCACAACGGATCCTTTACGAAAAAGTTTAGTCCGGCATCAGTCCGTTTTCGGTCCGGAAAGAGTCCGGTTGGACAGTCCGTCATCAGTCCGCCAAAGCGAGCGGACTAGTCCGCGAAAAAAGCCAGATCGACCAAAAACCGACCTATTTGCCGGACTAGTCCGGCTGGAACTAGTCCGCTTTCGGTGCGCAACCCCGCCTCACCGGACTGATCGCGGACTGGTCCGCACGCAGAGAAGACTGAAAGCGGACTACCTGTAGCACAGCTGACCTTTACCGTGCCAAAATTGATTGGGAAAAGTGCAAAGTTTAATGTTTATTATCGCTATATAAAGTGAAATATCAGGACAGTGTAAATCGAAAACTGATCTCAGAGTGTAAGGAACGAGGCGAAGCCAAATCCGCTGTCTGTTTTGACCTAGCTCAAGCCGTTTACGAGTTACCAGAAAAATTTGCTTCGATTTCAATAAAATTAAAATGGCCCTACTAAAATAGAGTGTAGATGGCCCAAATAAAATTTGAGGTCAAAATTCCTATAACTTCCAAAGTTACAGCATGGTAAACTTGTTTCGGGATTCGCTCCGGACAATTCTTTCTTTTTAACAGTGCTGTGCTCTGCTCCCGGGCGGACCGAAAACGACCTGGTCCGCTGCGGTAGGTACTCAAGACGGACTGGTCCGCCAGTAGTCCGCCGTTGGAGGACTGATAGCGACCTAGTCCGTCATGGGGCGGACTGAAAGCGACCTAGTCCGGTGAGGGCGGACTGTCCGCGGACTGGTCCGCTGAGGACGGACTGTCTGCGTACTGGTCCGGCATCGCACTTGGCCGGTGCGACCTCAAAGCGGACTAGTCCGCACCGAGGGGTCCTCAACTCTCCTTGGCCGTGTACGGAGTAATATTGAATATTACAAATAATATTAGTAATATTGAGCCAATTTTCAAGCTGTGACGTCATAATTCTAGAAAAATGTGTAATATCGAGGTAATATTACCAGTAATATGGCTAATATTGATGTAATATTTGAGGTAATATCAGTTCGTGTACGGAGGAATATCGAAGTTGACGACCCCTCGGTCCGCACGCCCGGGGGTACTAAAAGCGGACTAGTCCGGTGCACGACGGATCGAACGCGGACTGGTCCACTGGGGTGCGGACTCTTTCCGGACCGAAAACGGACTGATGCCGGACTAATATTTTTCGTACGGGATCACCCCCGGATCACCGCGATCAACCCTGGATTACTGTTGGATCACCCCGAGTTACCTTGGATTACCTCCGGATTTCCACCAACACCATCAGCTTATTGGCCCTAAAAAGTAGAAGTGTATCAGTGCCATGTTAACTAAGAAACTAAGAAAGAACTAAGAAAAAAAACCCTGTAGACTCTCGATATCAGCATAAAAGGCAGGCAATTTGAGTCACAAACACCCTGAATGTAGCCAATTGACAGTGCACCCCCCCCCC